ATTTTCGAAATTTTAAAATAAAATTTCTTAATTTTGAAAACACTTTTTCACAAAATTATTAAAAAATTTACATCAAACAACGTCAAAGTAAAAAAAAATTATTGCATACAAATCAGAGGAAGTAGTAGTAACATGGTAACAATACATAGTACACCTCAAACCCACCAAACCAAAATATCCCACTCACGCAATCTCAACCGTCCATTCCCAATCCCGCGTCCTTCCCGTCCAATCTAAACCCTTGACTTTTTACTCTACACACATATAGCTGTCTCCCTATCACGACCCAGGTCCGCCGTCTGCACACACACTCTCGAACCCTCGTTTTTTAACGCAGAGAGGGAGAGAATCGCTCAACCTTTATATACACATATACATATATTTATACATGGATTCTGATCAAGGAAAGCTTTTTATTGGAGGGATATCATGGGAGACAGATGAGGAAAAGCTCAAGGAGTATTTTCAAGGGTATGGTGAGGTTTTGCAGACTGTGGTGATGAGAGATAAGATCTCAGGAAAACCTAGAGGATTTGGGTTTGTTGTATTTTCAGATCCGAACATTTTGGATAGGGTTCTTCAAGAGAGACATGTTATTGATGGCCGCCCGGTGAGATTTAATGTGATAAATGATAAATATATAGTTTTTCTTCATTTTTTTGGCTTTAAATTTGGGGTTGAGGTTATGTTAAAATCATTCTGGCATCTGGGGTTTTGTTGGTATGGCTGGTTTTGCTTGTATTTGTGTTTCTTTGTTCATTCAGGTACCTGGTTATGTCTTATTTTATGCTATTTTTACAGGTTGTTCACTTAGTTTTTTTCCTCTGTGCATTCAGGGTTATGGTTTTTGTTATTTTTGAACGATTTCAAAATTGTTAGCTGGGTATTATTTCTGTGTGGTCTTCATTTGAAATGTGCATATCTGATCTAGCCAATTGATTTTTTTATGACATTTATGAAGGCTATAAGCGCTGAAATTGTAATATGCACCTAAATGATATGCATATAACCTTTTTATTTTCCTGGGAAAATTTTGGCCTCTCTGTACATATGAATCTTTCCATAATTGGTGGAAACTGCGGTTTTCTATAGTCAGTGATTTTTGCTAGCTTGTATTGGGTATCCGTGTTTGTTGCAATTATTTCTTCTTGTTGTGGGCATTATCATGTTACCTTTTACATATAGAAAGATTTATGGGTTTTGGTTTAAGCCTTGACATCAGTTCTCAAGCTTTTCCAAGTTTCTGTCGTATCAAATAGTAATCTATTAATTTTTATGACGACTTCATTTATACAGCCAATTCTCCCATCCTATGCTTCTAATTCAACAGATTATATATTGAATTGTTTCATGTTTGGCCTTTAATTTTAGTCATATTACTTATTTCATAGATATAAACACCCCAGGCTTTTTCTTGTATAAACATGTATTTGCTTATTTTTCTTTTTACATCTCTTAGATATTAGGTGTCATTTAGTTCACCATTGAAATCAGAATGGATCAGCCTTGTTATATATTTGAAATGAAAAAACCCCCTACACTATGGGGGTGCAAAAAGAATTTAAAATCAAAATTGTAAATATGTTATTTTGGTTTGAATCGGAATTGGAATCAAATTATCTGCAGTTGAGCATTATAACTCTGGATGATAAACATGACGAGGAAAGAAAATAAGAACAGTGAGGTAGATAAGAAAATACTTCCTCTCTGCAGCTTCTTCCTGTGCACCCACCACACTTTCTTCTTCTCCGTTTTCCACTTACCCATACAAGATTAAGAACCCAATCACAGGAGTTAACTCCAAACCGTATGCATCATCAGCCTCCAAGCACAGGTGGGTGCGGACAAAAACATGCACACGTACAAAAATCAGCATTCATACAAGTATGACCGTGCACATGAATAGAGTTAGAACTCGGAACTCAATTAGGTTTGCAAATTCGCGTCCATGCAGACAAATCCACCTTCCGGATTCCAATTTTGGATCATTTTTCCCTTCAACAGATCTCATCTTTTGGGTTTTTTGGGAAGTAGGCATAGTGGTTTGGACCATAGTTTATTTATCAGGGTAGAATTGCTATTTAATCTCTGGTCATGCTAGTATCATTAATATACTGGCTACCGCCACTCGTGTTAGGTCCATGTTACAGAGATAAATAGTACTATTCTCCAATACCTGAATATGTTGTTACCCGTTGAAAATTTTGAATTTTTCCTCTTATTGATAATTTGATGTCGTGTTTTTTCAAGAGAAATATATGCCTGAATGGTGCCCCTGATTTCAATCTCATTCTACATTTATTTGATATTTAGAATTGAATTTTATGTGTCTTTTTTATCCTCCATCATGACCAGAAGACTGTTTTTGTCGTGATAGGTCGAGGCTAAAAGAGCCTTATCAAGAGAGGAACAACAAGTTTCAAAAGGTGGAAACTCTAATACTTCTAGAAACTTTGGAGGTGTTGGGAATACTAGGACCAAGAAGATATTTGTTGGGGGATTGCCACCAATTCTTTCTGAAGATGGATTCCGTCATTATTTTGAAGCTTATGGCACTGTAACTGATGTAGTAATAATGTATGATCAGCAGACAAACCGACCTCGTGGATTTGGGTTTATTTCATTTGATTCTGAGGACGCAGTAGATAGGGTTTTACACAAGACTTTTCACGATCTAAATGGTAAGCAAGTGGAAGTGAAGCGTGCTCTTCCAAAAGATGCCAATCCTGGTGGGAGTGGCCGTTCTATGGGTGGTGGGACAGGTGGAGGCACTGTTGGAGGTTATCAGGGGTATGGTTCTTCTGTTGTAGATAGTCGTATGGAATCCTCCAGATACATGCAATCTCAAAATGCTGGAG